CTCAAATTGCATTTAATATTTACTTCTAAATATAACCTTTTTATGACTATTATATTAATCTAAATAAATGTTCCATGTGACAAAATGTATAATATAAATATGCACTATATGACCACCTATAATAACGGTAAATACAAAATATTAGAGGCATTAAAATCCTTCACAGTTTTCGTGAGGTTTATTAGATATTTAAGATTTAAAAAACTGGTTTGTGGGACATTTTGTATTTTATGGTAATATAATAAAGTACATGAACATTTGGATACAACAAGTACTAATCTAAACTACACACCTGGAGTTAGACAGAATCTTACAGTCTTTTTGAAATGTGACTGACAAACGTATCCAAGCAAACACTATCATCAAGCTTGTAAAGACATTGGGGAGGAGATATATTAAAGTGTTCTGCTCTAAAAAGTTGTTTAAAGCAATAAAATGTATCAATCATCATGAAAATTAATGGATCCAGCAGGCACATTCCATTAGTAAACCCTGTTTGTTTAAGTTGTTTTTTTTTAATATATATTTTATTTGGGTGTGTACATATAGTACACATTTTTATCATTGCACAGAATTAAAAATAAAATTACAACAAGATAGGTGTCATGTTATGGTATTGGTCAAGACATCTTAGAATAAAGTTAACTAACAACCTATTTCCAGTAGTGATGAACACATATGTAAGTACTCTGTAACTGATGATCACAAAGTCCTTTGTCATTGAATAGAAATACAAATTAAATTAAAACAAGATATGTGTCATGTCATGGTATTGGTCAAGACATCTTAGGACAAAGTGTGGTAAGCTAATTAAAAAACCTATGTGAAGGAATACCCCATCACTGTTCGGCTTCTCACGTTCGTTTTGTCATCCTGTTCCAGTTTGTTTGTTATTTTGTTCGGTTCCCGAATCGAAACCACCCCAGAGACCAATTAGAACATGGAACGTTGTGTATCTTGTATGAAAACCACAGAGAAAATCGTGAATTGAATGCTCCACTCTGTGGCCGCCATTTCGTGCATACGAATACACGTGGTTTGAACAATGGATGACGGCCATCTTGTCTCCCAAACGCTGCCAGTGGGACCTGATCGTCGAATGCCTGGAACTAATTTCGTCCAGGCACTCTCACGAACACCGGTCTTTATGGCTCTACTCTACGTTCCCCTTCCCATTCACTTATACGAATGGCGTTTGGGAGTTCCAGAATACCGAATAAAGGGAGCTGTGATGAGAGCAATCTCGCCACATTGCATTGGAGAAGCCTGGTTGCTCGTCTGTTGCCTTTGGATTATGGCCCCATGTTAAAAGACTTCTTTTCCCCTGCAGAAAAGGCTTATTCGTGCCTTTCTGCCCGGCGGTCGGTAGATTCAATCTACCGAACTAACACACGAATGACTGGACCACCTGGGAGCTGGAGTGTGTCGGCAATTAACCTCCCAGAAGCTGCGGTTAACCGCAGCTTAATTGACGAATGCTGGGTGGCCTTTGATCGGTTGCCGAACATGTGGTGGCGGCCATTTTAAAGCCCAAACGGCCAGCGGTGTTCAGAGCCCAAACTGTGGAACTGTAAACGGACACTTATTTCCGCGAACACCGCTGAGCCGTCAGCCTCCTTGCTTCTGCATTCGGTCAGTTAACCGAATGCCTGTTCATTCGGTAGTTTAAACCGTATGAACAGCATTACCCCAGATAGCCATCCCGTGGAGTCTATTCGTATGGAGAACAGACTTTGTGAATACTTTGACTCCACGGCGATTGGACTGTGTGCATATGATCTGAGCGTTATTCTGTACTTTTGTGCGCTCAGATCCCAGCTATCTGGGGATGGGTTGCAAGTATATATTTTGTGTGATAAATGTAATATTGTGTATTTTATTGTGTTTTACTGTTTTACTGTAACCATGTGGGTAATGGAGTTTTGCCTCTGTCCTGGGAGATAATTGGATTACTTCCCAATTATCTCCAGGACAGAGGGAGGGAAGTTAAGATGCATTGTGGGGAGGTTTAACCTCTGTGTGTCTGTCATTGGTTCATGTCTGTCCTTTGTCACAGTCTCCCATTTGGTCCCCTAGGGGAGTGTCCACCAAGTGAGAGACCTGCATAAATACTGGGCAGGTAGCCCTCATTAAACAGACCACTGCTTGACCCTCAACACGGAGCCTTGTCTCGTTCTTGGGGGGATTTACGGTATGCTGATAGAGACTGATTGCTAGGTGCGTAAACCGCTTGGGTGCTTTTCCTATTCGTCTGCTAGCAGCTATTTGTGAGGTTCCAGTTCGGGAGTTTGGAGTGCTATATTGTATGCAGTTCAGGAGTTTAGAGCATTCCCTTATATGCGGTTCGGGAGTTTGGTGTTCTGCAGTAGCTGTGCCTGTATCTCTGGAAGGGGAAGATCTTCTAAACGGTGGTTTAACCCTTTTATGCTGAGGGTGCCGTTACAGGAGCATTCTCCACAAACCAGCTTGAGTTTATCTTATGTGGTTTTCATGCAAAACGGAGACCGGCTCTCATGGCAGACTGGCCAAATCTTCCCTGCGGTGCCGATCACAAACTACCAAGTTTATTTGGCTGATTTTTGGGGGTACTTTCGGGGTGTTGTGAAAATTGAAACGTTTTTCTGACAAGGAGATAATTGAGTTTAGTACTTTCTCTGACTCAATTATCTTCCTGGTTCAGAGGATGTTTGACCCAGAGAAGTGTAATTTGCAATTAATTGGACACTTTTTAAACTAATCTTGTGCATCATACCATCCCACGCAATCCTATCTTTTTACGTTTATAATTTGTATAGTAAGAAAACATGATAACTAGCTGTTATAGGGGAAAACTAAGATTAGAGGAGAAAAGGTCTTCAGAAAATCAGGAAAGAAACCACACAAAAGCACAGAAGATAAATTATCTGGGTTGGTGGCCAAATTGAGAAAGAAAACTGAAATGGACACAGCAGGTTGAAAGAAATAGGAATTGGACACAGTTGGTAAAAGAAATGAGTGATGTGCACATAAACATAAATGACCGAGTGATGGGAAATGAAGAGTATATAGAATGATGGTTGCAATCTTTTTCCCTGTTATCAGTCCTCCTTTCCACTCTGTCACGTTGTGAAATACTATGAGCTGCAACAGTCTGGGTGTGTAACATGAATGATGAACTCTGATACCACACAGATCAGCTGTTCGCACATTGATCACAGTGTAGATAATCTGAATAAGATAAAAACAGGAAAGAGACTTACCAAAACCAGTTTCCAAATATGGAAACACACATGACAGCTGACCCAGAACTCAACCATCCCATTGTCCGAATAACACCAAGACACAATATTATGTGGATAAGGGCAAAATCCACAGCTCTATTGAAGTTCTAATCAACCAGCATTAATATTCATAACAGCCTGTCAACCATAATGGACTTACCATGAGTAAAACACAGTCTGTCTATAGATATGAACACCTTAGCAGACTAACGACTCCCCAAGCTGACTGGGCACCCCAGGTTTCTTTCTACTTCATTGGCAAAGAATACCGTCACCACAATGCATAATGCATGTCATGATTCCGAACCCCCATGTAAGCCCAGATTAAAGATATCTAAACCAATATGAGATAAGTGCACTGCGTCAAAACACATTCGATTGGAATTATCATCATACAGATCTACATGTTATACCACTATTTACCCTATGCTGTGACCAAATCGTGACACTGCCATATTTAACTTGTGCCTACAACACATAGAAACATAGAAACATAGAATGTGACGGCAGATAAGAACCATTCGGCCCATCTAGTCTGCCCAATTTTCTAAATACTTTCATTAGTCCCTAGTCTTATTTTATAGTTAGGATAGCCTTATGCCTATCCCACGCATGCTTAAACTCCTTTACTGTGTTAACCTCTACCACTTCAGTTGGAAGGCTATTCCATGCATCCACTACCCTCTCAGTAAAGTAATACTTCCTGATAAACACTCCAGTGCTTTTCCATTGGATAACAATTACCATATGGGACGGGGAATAACTTTAAACCATATTATTTATTGTATTGCTTTTTCTTTTATAATTTTTTTTAAATAGATAATAAACCAGTTATCTGGTTTTAGAGATGGAGAACCTATTCCTTTGGTGGGAAACATTCCATCTGAGCCCTGTGGACTGAGCAAAAAAAATAAAAATATTTTGCTCCACAGCAGTGAGTATCTCTCCAATGCTTTATTACTGTACATTGATAACAGTGAGCACTATATTTTTATTTCTGTTTTTATCTACATACACATCACAGAAACTTCTACCAACTAATGAAATCCTTAAATGGGGATTGTAACATGTTATGCTGTTTTCTGGGAGCCAATTGGAGGCTTCATGCACTGTAGATATATTTTCATAATTTTGAGCTTTGTTCTCTATTTTGCATAATCCTTGGCACACTTACCATTCTATCAAAGAACACATAAGAAATCTCCAGGCAGGAATTGTACAGCACTGTGGACTTAAGTAGAGCTAAACCTTTTCTATTCCACCCACTTGCACCACAAACACTGCTTTATATTTTGCGCTCTTCTTTATTTCATTACATATTTATCATCACCTGATAATTCCTTAATGAGCTACTCCCACCCTCCACCACATACATCTTCTATTTGACTAGAACAGAGAGACTCAGTTGTCTGAGCTGCCTCCAATACTTAACTTTATGCTCTAGAAACCTGTTACCCCTATACTTTTAAAAACCATGAAACCCTGCAACCAGTTCTAGAAAGTGCACGAGAGTTGTTTGCTCTTGTCCATATAATTCAGGTCTCCTCCTCTTGGCCTAGTCTTCTGGGGACCATGGACAACAGTTCCACATACGCTCCTTTAAAAAAAAAAAATTATTTGACCTCCATGGGCACATGCATGCCTAGCAGAGAGCAATTCACAACCCAGAGAGCCACTGACCCTGAGAGCCTGTCAATCTAAAACCACCCTCAACAGGCATGACACTTCCTCCTTCCCCAGAACCTCCAACCCCCTTGCCTGCAGCCCTGACTGTCCAGCTATAGCACCACAAGTGTTGGTGCAGGCATGCTCCAACAATGACACATGCAAAGTTGGTGGACCCACAACAACTACTGACACCTGGACCTCTTATACATCTGATTCGGAGGCATCTTGCAATGTTGTAGCCTCTGTCAGGCCACCACGGCCTCGTTGTGCACCATTCCTCAGTTCTGTCACGGTTCCCGGCTGATCACTGGCTTCCTGATGGGAAATCCAAGATGGAGGGGCCTGTCATATAAGTGCACTGCCATGCGCCGACATCACATACTCGCCTTGAAAGGCATCATGTTCGCATGACATTCTTAATGACCATCCTGGCCATACCGCATGGTGATATCACTTCTGGCCAGTCCAGAAAAGAAGACCACTGATCTGTGCAACTCAATCTATGATCAATGCTATCCTCCATTTATATATGTTATATATATGAACTGCAGTGGAAAAGATGCATTCCAGGGTTATCTTAAAATAACTAGATCAATTTGACTTATTATTTTCCCCATGATGTTTTAACAGATGCAATATTGATGTATGAAGTATTCCTTTAAGTATCAAGACCTATTTGTGTCATACTACAAATCTAGCACAACGGTACTCTATATTTTATACATACTCTACATTTCCTAGCTTTAAAATCTTTTTTGCTTCCAGGAAAAGTCTTCTCTTAAATGTGATGTAACCTAGTAATAAAGTTGGTGCTTTACTGTATTTTGTTTGCAGACCCTGGTCAACTGCAGTTCTTAAGACGTCACTAATTACAGACAGATATTTTGCTGCCTAAATAAACACATTTTACTGTGTATTGCCCATATTTTCATGTTTAAATGTAATTCTTAGTTTTGTTTATTTATTCTACAGACGTTGTGAAATCTCACTTCTTTCTTGAGTATTATATACTGGCCTTAAGGGTCAACTATAACTTGCAAGTTGGCATAAAGGTTATAATAAATATGAGATTTGGGCATTAAATGAAAAGGTTTATGTAATTTCCGTAAACGGTTGTCTGGAAAGATGTGAGCCAGAAACCGATGCAGGTAATTTCAGATCCTGGAGTTCCAAATTAACATTTGAACCATTGGACATGGAGGATGATGCTTCCACTGCCCTAATGCATATCAAACAAGGGAACCGGTCTATCTCAGATTATGCCATAGAACTTTGCACCTTGGCTTCTGTGGTAGACTGGACTAATAGTGGTTTAATCTCTGCATTTAAAGAAGGACTATCCAAGGCAATTCTTGATGCAATTGCTGCCAAAGATATACCTAAGAGGTTAAATTAGTTTATCACATTTGTCATGCAGATTGATAGCAGACTTAGAACCAGAGAAATTACCAGAAATAGAACCAGACGTATGGCTATGTCACTGGCACCTCGTTTCTCCAGACTTGTTGTTTCTGGCCTCTCTGTATAGTCTGAACCAGAACCTATGCAGTTGGGGGTCACCAGACTGTCAGAGGCAGAGACAATATAGGAGAAAGGAGGGTCTGTGTCTATCCTGCGGTAAAAAAGGACATATGAAGAGTGCTTGTCCCATATGTCCGGAAAACTTCTGCACCTAAGAACCTTAAGGAGACAGGTCTTAGGTGTGATGGATACCTCCTCTGGTTATAACCAAAATAGATTTCTCCTCAGTATTACGGTCCTTTGTAACAAGAAGAGCTTCTCATGCAAAGCCCTGATGGACTCAGGTGCGGCAGGAAACTTAATTGACATACATTTTGTTAAAAACACATTTAATACCTATCAAGCAGAGATCATCACCTCTGGCTGTTAAAGCTATTGATGGGAGACCTCTCTCTCAACCCTTGATTACCCACGAAACCTTGCCTATTAACGTTTCCATAGGAGCTTTACACAGGGAAGACATAACATTCCAGATAATTGATTCCCCTTCTTGTCCCATCATATTAGGATTTCCTTGGCTCAGTAAGCACAATCCTCATATTGACTGGGCAAAGGAGAAAATACTGGAGTGGGTTAAAGATTGTACAGAGAAATGTGTGTTACCCATTACCAAAAGAGTGGGCATCGTTACTTTACCCACTACTATGCCTCTGGCCTCCAAAGTTCCCATACAATACTGGGAGGTTAAGGATGTATTCAGTAAGAGTCGGACCGATATTCTACCTCCTCACAGATCTTATGACTCTATAAATCTGCTACCCGGTGCTATGCCCTCCAAGGGGGCAGTGTATGCCTTATCTCCACAGGAGAATAGAATCATGGATGAGTACATCAAAGCTTTCTGTAAGTAAGGTCCACATATGTAAATCATCCTCGCCTGCTGGACAGGGTTCATTTTTATATCTAAAAAAGAGGGAGAATGCATTGATTACAGGGCATTAAACAAGATCACCAAAAATAATGCTTATCCCATTCCCCTCATCTCCAAATTGTTTGACAGACTTCAGGGTGCTAAAGTCCTTACTAAACTTGACCTCAGGAGTGCATACAATTTGGCAAGGATTAAGGAAGATCATGAGTGGAAAATGGCATTTAGCACTAGAAGTGGGCATTATGAGTACCTTAAGGGGGCTAGTTCTACGATATGATCTAAGGAAGCTAGAGAAGCTTTTGAACTTCTTAAAAAATAGTTGGCTTCAACTGACATTTTAGTACATCCTGACACTAGCAAAACCTTCATACTGGAGGTTGATGCCTCCGAAACTGGGGTAGGGGCTGTTCTTTCTCAGAGGGAGACTCGGGCTACCCTTTTGCATCCATGTGAGTACTTCTCTAGAAAGTTGTCTCCAGCAGAGCGTAATTATGATATTGGTAACAGAGAATTGTTGACCATTATACTAGTGCTTAAAGAATGGCGACATCTTTTGGAGGGTTCCAAGGACCCCCTTTTGATCATAACTGACCACAAAAATTTGGCATATATCAGTGATGCTAAACGACTGTCTTCTACACAGGTTAGATGGTCTTTGTTCTTATCTCGATTCAACATTATTATAACTTACAGACCTGGTCCCAAAAACGTTAAAGCTGACGCCTTATCTAGACAGTTTGATGTTGAATCAGAACAAGAACAGGAGACATACCCTATTGTTCCACCTGAGTGTATCATTGCCTCCACTGTCCTTTCCTTATAATCACCTCTGGTTGGTGCTATCTTAGAGGCTCAATCCCAGGCACCCTACAATAAACCTCCAGATAAATTGTTTGTTCCATTGATCGAAAGGGAGAAGGTAATGATGGTATTCCACAACAATGTGACTGCTGGGCATCCAGGCATTAATAAATCCACATCCACTGTCCTGAGATCATTTTGGTCGGATTAACTCAGGAAAGATGTCAAGGAATATGTGCAGGCCTGTTCAGTGTGCGCAGTTTCTAAGGTTCCTCATGAACTTCCTAGCAGATTATTACATCTGCTTCCTGTATCTAGTGTTCCATGTTCTCATTTATCCATGGATTTCATTGTGTAACTTCCTAGTTCTAACGGTTATACCACTATCCTTATGGTGGTTGACCGCTTTTCCAAGATGGGTCATTTTGTTCCTCTCAAAAAATTGCCTTCTTCTCAAGACCTGGTCCTTATCTTTATACGAAACATTGTCAGGCTACATGGTATTCCTCAAAATATTGTGTCTGACAGGTTCTCAGTTTGTATATTGTTTTTGGAGGGCATTTAATAAACAGTTGGGTATTGAACTGTCATTTTCTTCCTCCTACCATCCCCAGATCAATGGCATGGCTGAGAGAGCTAACCAATCATTGGAATTGTACTTACGCTGTTTTGTGAATAGTATTCAAGATAACTGGTCCGAATTATAGCCCGGGCCGAGTTTTCCAGGAACAATGCCACCCATGACTCTTCCGGACATAGTCCATTTTTTGTCAATAATGGTCATCATCCTGCTGTCCTACCAGCTGTTTTTTTCTGACACAGCTATATCTGCTTTGGATGATCACCTTGCTTCTATTCGTGAGACTTGGACCAAAGTTCACTCAGTTCTCGAGACTGCGGCTGCTCGTTTTAAGTTTCATGCTGATAAACGGTGGGGTGCCAATCCTGTTTACCAGGTGGGTGAGAGGTTGTGGTTATCATTGCGCAACATCAAACTAAAAGTTCCTAGCATGAAATTTGCCCCCAGATTCCTTGGTCCATTTCGTATCATTTGGAGAATTAACCCTGTTTCTTATTCTCTGGCTCTTCCTGCTTCCTTGTGTATTCCTAATACATGTCATGTTTCGTTAATCAAACTGCTTATTTGCAATAAATATACAAGTATACTGTCCCAAGTGTACCCTCTCCCCCATTGGTTGTTTCTGGACAGGAGGAGTATGAAGTCTTCTCCATAATTGATTCCAGGTTATCTCTTGGTTCTTTACAGTATTTGGTTGATTGGAGGGGAAATGGGCCTGCAGAGCGTTCTTGGATTCCGGCTTCTGACATTCATGCTGGCCGCAAGAATTGTTCTTTCCACGCCAAGTTTTCTCTCAAACCTGGTCCGGTAACATATTCATCCTCACCTTGCGGTATCTGCAGTAATTGCCTTCCTGACAATAATGGTCAGTGCCGCTCAGTGGCCATGCGTTAGTATATCTGACTCCTGTAACATGTTGGTGGATGCCGACCCCTGTGGATCCACACCATTTTATAACCTCACGTCCGCCCACCGTAATAACGACGTCAACGTGCGTGACGTCATGCAGGAGACGCACACGCACGTTCTGGGGTCAAAGGCAGATTTTGGCCAATCAGATCTGTAAGAGGCTTATTTAAACACATTTTTACTTCACCTCATTGCCCTGTCATGGTTTCCCTTAGTAGATTATCTGAGAGAGTGTTCCTGAGCGTTTATTTCTGGTTATTGACTTTGGCTTCCTTTTGACTTCCCTGTATCCTGGTATCCTTGACTTTTCGGCTTTCCCTCATCGTTGTGTGTCCTTCTGTGTCCCTGACCTTGGCAAGTATACTGACTATTCTCTGGTACGTTAGGTCCGGCCCGGTAAGATGTTACCTTTAGTCCTAGGTGTTATACAATTCTGCGTGCTGGATCAACTAGTATCCTGACACACTGCTGTTGATGTTCATTGGCTGAGAACATCGGCTGACTGCTCTCAGCCAATGACAGGCATTCTATACATTGAAATTTGCACAGAATTGATAGCTAGAGGCTGAATGATGACACCAAAATGATGCTGCTGAAGGTGGAACTACGCCTCCGGCAGTAG